TTGTGATAATGCGCTATACAAAAATAAATTTGTTGTTGTTGTTGTTGTACTCTGCTGGAAGACCTCCTTCCTAAATATTACAGGCATTGAACTCTAGTGGGTAGTTACTGTAAAGGTCTTGCACAGGTATGGAAACCATGTTCTGCCCATTTTTAGTACAGTCAGAATGAATGATTGCACTGTTGGTGCTGTATTCACTGTCCCATGCAAGGTGAAATTAACTGATTATTCTCAAACCCAATGAGGCAGCCTGGTGCTAATTAATACAGGAACAAGGTGCTGAGAAACCAGTTTGATTAGCTATTTGTGTCGATTTCCTCCTGAAGTCCAAAAACATGCACTTAGACAGACTGACACCTTTAAGTGGCTCATAGTGACTGTCCTATAATGGATTGGTATTCCATCCAGGCTGTCTCCCTGCTTTATGCTCTGTGCTTCACAAAATAAACTCCTTTCTGCATGGAAGGCAACACATCTCCTAAGCAGTTAGCAAACAAGCATTAATTAGTAATGCTTTGCTGTAGAACTGTAGAGAACCACTACCAGCCTTATATTAACCCAGAGCATAACCTCTAGCCACTGCCTGAGCAACTGCATGGGGCTGAAGCAACAGCAGGTACAGCATCCAAGTGTAGGAGGAGAAGGAAAATCTGCTCATGTCAGTTACCACTGGCAGGAATGACTCTTACTGAACCCGCTGTACAGTCACCCTTTCCAGTCACACTTTCCCTTTCACACAGTTTTTTTTAAGAATTACAAAATGTTGCCCAGCAACAAGATTGGCTGTCTGACTCTAGACATTGTTGTGCAATTTTAGCTGAACTTAAAGATAAAGGACTAACACAGCTTCATGGTGGTACATAAGCTCTGGGGAGTAACCAGGGGCCGTGGGATGGGAATCATATTTTCCATTTATACAGACAACATGCCCCACCCCAAACAGTATGGAAATAGGTTTCACATTAAATACTTCTAACACTAAATACATCCAGCAGCTTTTGAATTTCCCTCCCAAAGTGTTTTTTTTTTTAAATTATCTACTTCAAGGGAGCAGCTGATGCAGTTATACTATAAACAGTGTGTAAGTATAAAGTGCTTTTCCATTTTTCCAAGATTTAAAAAAAAAAACTGTCATGTTGGTTTGGAAAAGCTTCTTATTCAGGAAATACTGACTTCAGTTTGAAAAAGGTCCTGGAGACCTTTTTAAGTGGCCCAGACGAGATGTTTGAGGTTTGGCCTATGATAAGAAGCAAATGATATTTGGTCTCCCATTGGTCACGGGTCCAGAGGAGAACAAATCAGGAAGATCTTTTGAGTCACTGACAATCTCCTGGCATTCACTGCTCCTGAGCCCACTTGTGGTCCAGCTTTACATGGTGCCTTTTCCCTCCTTTTCAAAATGTCCTCTGCCTTCTATTTCCATGTGCTGCGAGATGCCTTTTCACCCTGAATGAAATACTGGTGTCTTTCCTCATGTGTGCATGTCCGTGTGCATGCATGGATGCAGCTCTGCATATCATCCTTACTGCTGCTACTGCTTACTGACGACCTTCAGGGTTTGGCCTTCCTGGAAGAGAATGTTCTCCATTCTTCTGGAGAATTACACAAGTACACAGTATTCAGCCAGAATAGAAAATGTATCTATGGAAATATAAGAGATATTATTTCCCAAACCTCTGACTGGAGCGACACCTTCAGTGACCCATTTTGAAGTGAAAGTGCCCGTTACCATGTGTACCTGCGTGTTGCAACGACCCTCAGGTTCATTTGGCATGTAGGGCCTCCATTCACTGAGACTATACATCACGTGGTCAAACTCTGGCAGACAGGCAGGCAGGGATGGCTGCCCAGAGCGCGCGTGCGCGCCCACACGCCCACACACACACACACACACACACACACACACACACACACACACACAAACAGGTTTGTAATTATATCTTTGTAGGGACTCACCATTCATTCCTATGGGGAAAACTCTAATTCCAACATGACAACCTTAACCACCTCCCAGCCTTAACCTTAACCTTAATCATAACTAACCAAACAAAATATGAAACTTTTGGCATTTTTAGTTTTTTGATTGCATTCGCAGATTTTTGTGGGTACCTGAAAAATGGTCCTCACGACATCAAAAGAACAGGTTTTTATTACATTGTGGGGGACATTTGGTCTCCACGATGTAATATAAACCTAATCCACACACACACACACATACACGGACACACCGATTTATCCACAGGTCTCCTGGGATGGGCTGCAGGGCCCCCCTGGCCTTGCACAGGACACACATCTGGAAGATGGATCATCTATGAATAAAAAATATTCAGTTGTGTTCAGAATAATAGCAGTGTGTCTAAAAAAGTTGAATAAAGTTGAAAATCCTTATAATAGTTTTTATTTCGATACAAGCAAATGCATTGAGAACACTACAAATTCTATTCCAAATCAAAACAAGAAGAGAAATTCATCACATTTGTGTTATTCCTTTACAGAATGTGAAGGAACGGGAATATTAGGCTGTTCAAAAAAATAGCAGTGTCCACATTATTCTTTACAAACTCAAAGATTCACTGTATGACCTGTAAGATTTTGCTTTCATTTGAATCATTGAACTAATATTTAGTTGTATAACCACTGTTTTTAACCATTTTTGATGTCACCCCACAAGTTTTCTATTGGATTAAGGTCCAGGGATTGGGCTGGCCACTCCATAACGTCAATCTGACACTCAGGAACCAAGATTTTGCTCGTTTACTGGTGTGTTTGGGGTCGTTGTCTTGTTGAAACACCCAATTTCAAGGGCATTTCCTCTTTGGCATAAGGCAACATGACCTCTTCAAGTATTTTGAGGTATTCAAACTGATCCATGATCCCTGGTTTGCGATAAATAGGCCTGCCACCGTAGTATGAGAAACATCCCCATATCATGATGCTTGTGCCACCATACTTCATTGTCTTCACAGTGTACTGTGGCTTGAATTCAGTGTTTGGGGGTCATCTGACAAACTGTCTGGGGCCCCTAGACACAAAAAGAACAATCTTGCTTTCATCAGTCCACAAAATGTTGCGGTGTTTCACTCTAGGCCAGTCAGTCAATGTGTTCTTTGGCAAATTATAACCTCTTCAGCATGTGTCTTTTTTTCAGCAATGGGATTTTGCGGGGGCTTCTTGCCAATAGCTTGACTTCACATAGGCGTCTTCTAATTGAAACAGTACTCACAGGTAACTTTACCCTTCTTTGATCTTCCTGGAGCTGATCATTGGCTGAATCTTTGCCATCTTGGCTATTCTTCGATCCATTCGAATGGCAGTTTTCCATTTTCTTCCACGTCTTTCAGGTTTTGGTTGCCATTTTAAAGCATTTACAATCATTTTAACTGACCAGCCTGTCATTTTCTGCACTTCTTTATGTTTTCCCCTCTCCAATCAACTTTTTATTCAAGCTACGCTGTTCTTCTGAACGTCTGGAGCGACCCATTTTACTTAGAATTTCAGAGAGAAATGCACTATAACCAGCATGTACATGCTGCCTTCCTTCCTTAAAAAAGGTCCATAATTGGCACCTGGTTTTTCACAGAACGAATGACCTCACCAATTGAACTTCACACTGCTATTATTTTGAACACGCCCCTTTCAATGAATGATTCAATTACACAGAATCAGCAGCATGCATGTCGTGACTGTTGGGTCTTTTGGTATTCCATTACTCTACTACACCTACTAGTAAATTATTTGCCATGTAGAAATATAATTTCTACCAAAAACAGTGATTGATCTGGTTAGTGATGTTGGACTACTATTATTTTGAACACAACTAAGGAGGAACAGAGCACACACAGTGAGAGCCTGCCAAGCACATGAGATGGCATCCTCGAGCTGGGATGAATGAGTCAGCCGACCAAGGCCACCGTGTCATCATGCCACCCCCGCATGGTCAGGATGATGGGGTCTGTGGCCCTTCTGAGATTCTGATGTACCACAGCACAAAGCCTCCAGGAACAGGAAGAGCTTGTTCATTATGCACTGAGGTGTCTGAAGAAAGTGCGCTCCTGCATGAGCATGCTACAAAGAGCACCGCAGAATGCATCATTCATACTTCAGGAAGCAAGGAAGGCGAGGGTGGATCCGGCCCTGATCCGGGGTTTAAGCAGAACATCTAATAAATCCCATCTGTGGGGGGGGGGGGGCATCTAGTCCACCCTAAAGAGAAGCTAGGACTTGCAATGGCGTGTTTACATTTTATTTTACTGACCGAAGAGCACTACGTCCATTTTTACATTACGATTCACACAAAAGCATCATATAGAATGAGAACAATGGATTTCCTTCTCAAATAAAATCTGCACCTTTTCCCACACATCAGCTTACAGACAACAAGGCAGATGACACACATGGTAGAATAAATACCTATTATAATCTTGCATTTCCGAAACTCATCCATTCACTATCTACAGTGTCCTGTGACCCAGGGTTAAGGGTGAAGGCCAAGCCCCCTGACGCACTCCTGTGGAATCCGGCTATCAGATGGGACTCCACGGCTCAGAGCAGCACGCTCCATATGGCATCCACTCTTACACTAAACATGAAGATTCTCAGTTTGAGAGGGTGGTCGAGTTGAACTGCCAGCGATTGCCCACGGTGCCCATCCCAGCCTGGTATCCTGACACAAGCTGTCTGCGGCTCCCCAGCCACGTCCCCGGCACACCGCAGCAGGAACTTTCTGTTTTTACACGCTAATGTGTTTCTTTATTGCTGCTGTCTTCTGTGTACAAGATAACCACAAACACAAATATTTGTTTCACTGCCCTTTTAAGAGTCTCTGACACTCATGCTCAGCCGAGGAAGTATATTTGGATGGATAAGCCTTAAGCCTACCCAGTGGACTGTGGGGCCTAGTGCTGGACAAAGAACTGCTCTTGGACCTCCGAGTGAGCTGTCTGCTGGAAGAGCAAGACTCACGCACACCCCTGATCACTAAAAACAGTCATCAAATTTTGCACAGCTCTGATTGGAGTCTGGCTCGTATAAACAAAGACATTCCCTCCCTCTGCACAGTGTAACCAGAACAAATCTACCAAAACCAAAAAAAAAATACTTTCCATCATTTGTGCCAAATTTTTTAAACATCAGAAAAAAATATAAAAATAAAATGAGAAGCAGGAGGGAACACAGCGTGAGGAGATCTTTGGAGGCCTGGAAGGGGGGGGCAGAAGAGGGCATCCTGGGTAATCTTAGAAGAATCAAAAGAGCTTTTCCCTTTGGAGGCATCACATGGACCCTCCGGTCCAGCCATCGTTCTGGGTTGGAAGCAGTGGCGTGTCATATTCCGGACTCTATGATGTTCGTGATCAGCTTGACTCCAAACATGGCTTCCCAGTGGGCCTTGACCCAGTCCACCAGGCCCTGGGCCAGGTCCTCGCTCTCAGTCTTCAGAGCCCATGTCTTCTGTACCTGCAGCATCTAGGCAAGTAAATGTCATGGGTCAGAGAAGGAGTAGAAGGGCGGGGGGCCAGGGCCGTCTCACACCTGACACTGACACTTCCTGTTTAAGCCCTAAGGGGTTACCATATAATTTTATTGGAACTGTTCCATGTTTGTTGCTCATCTTCTAAATGCAGTGAACGATTCAGCATATCTATGAGCATCACAAGGTTTCCTACACTTTGAGGATAATAGACCCACCTCATCATAAAGGTTGATGTCAATGCGGAAAGGGTCACAGGAGAACAGATGGATGGAGCTGACACAACTGACTGGCTGACTCTCCTGAACTATGACCTTTTCTCCATGGAAAGGTGTGATCTCATTGGATGAGGAGCTAGGCGGGCTCTTGCTCCATTGGTGGTCTTCCTTTAGCAGGTAGAGAGTATCCTCAGTGGCTAGCACTGTCACTGGGGTAAAATGGCCGTCTGGGAGGTAAAAAAAAAAAAAAAGGTTTGATTTGGCACAGTTTCACAAGATGTTTCACACTGAATTTCACAACTTCACAACGGGGTTGGTCAATACCTCGTTGCACAAAGGCCAGCAGGTAGAAGAAGTGCAGCTGGAAGTCTTCCACACCATCAGAGGAGCTGGTGTCATACACCAGAGACCTGGGGGGGGGGGGGGGGATGCAGAAGAGGGCGACATTAAGCTCACCATGTCCATCACCACACTACACGACAATGCTATTTGTTCTTGGTTTTCTTGTAATAGTCATCAGTTTAACTCTCTGGGGTCGAGTATGTCGTCGGCGACATCGCGTACTTTTCGCGTCTATTTCAGTTTATATCTCGCTGAAATCTTA